TACATACATATGTATGTATGTATGTACAGTAGTAGTGGCATTAATAATAGCACCCATGACACTAACTTTTATATATTCAATGATTTTGCTTAAACAGTGGTTTTAATGAACGGTTTTAAAACTAATATATAAACTTTAGGATGTAATTGAACGTATTTGAAAGTAATGGTATATTTTGCAGCCTTCAAACGAAAATATTTTAAAAGAAAAGGAATTATTCAGGAACTTAGACGGCAACAAAAATAGCACTGATATCAAAAAAAATAAATAAATACAAATTACTAAGAAGTTTTCCAAATTTGTAATTAAAATAGGTTACTTAAGTTGTATTTAAAGGTTAATATTTGGTTGTAAAGCCATTGGCAGCAACAATAGAAGCTCAGCGTCGCTTCTGGGGACGCGACTCAACTTATACACGTACTCAGTCAATTTTAGAATAAAGCATAGTATCCAGCACCGCGGAATACCATGTACCATAATAGCACCCATGACACTATCTTTTATATATTCAATGATTTTGCTTAAACAGTGGTTTTAATGAACGGTTTTAAAACTAATATATAAACTTTAGGGTGTAATTGAACGTATTTGAAAGTAATGGTATATTTTGCAGCCTTCAAACGAGAATATTTTAAAAGAAAAGGAATTATTCAGGAACTTAGACGGCAACAAAAATAGCACTGATATCAAAAAAAAAAAAAAAAAAAAATACAAATTACGAAGTTTTCCAAATTTGTAATTAAAATAGGTTACTTAAGTTGTATTTAAAGGTTAATATTTGGTTGTAAAGCCATTGGCAGCAACAATAGAAGCTCAGCGTAGCTTCTGGGGACGCGACTCAACTTATACAAGTACTCAGTCAATTTTAGAATAAAGTATCCAGCACCGCGGAATCTAAAAATTCCTGTCAAACTTCATATAAAAAAAACTGTGCCAGAAATTTTTCCTTTACGTTTTCCTGGAGTGTGTATCCAGCAACACGAGTGGAATCCCCAGATTTATATCGATAGTTGCCTACCGGGACCGTATGTGGACTGAGAGAACAGCTGACACCCAGCTCAGGAATATATGTTCAACAATTACTCCTGAAGTGAATGGTGCAAGATGTAGGCAAAAACTGTTCGCAAAACCAAAAAGAGAGACGCAAATTATTCTTTTTTGTTTTGCAACAATATATGCCTCCACCAACACAATCACTTCATCATCAGAGTGCATTTTGTTCCTATTTTCATTTTAGCAGAACTTTACAGTTGGCACTGTTTACAAAACACAGCTGATTCATCAACCCTGTTTAAGCTATGTTCCACACCCTCACGGAATAACAAGCAAATTCATGGCAGGAATTTTCCGTGGTGCTGGAGACAGGCCTTTGAAATAAAAATATTTTACATTTTACATTTTTTTTTCTACAGCTGTTATCTACATCTACAATGTATATTATACATCTCCTCCGCTAGAAGGCACTCACGCACTGAGCGCGGCAGAGTGTGCGAGCGAGAAAGAGAATGAGTAGCGTTTCTCTTGCTGTAGGAGGTGGGGGAAGCAACTGAAAATTAATTTCTTCATTCTGGCTGTAATTATGCTCCCATCTGATTCAGATTCGGCAACCTGGTAGATATAGTCATTTTTTTACGATACTGCGTTTGTAGTTTTATCGTATCTTTAAAATTGTGCCTGCCACAGATTTTCGTCTTTTGTGGGGGCGGAAGAGGGCAAGGCGTAATTTTGAAATGCACTTGTAGCCGTGTGATATCACATGAGTCTGGAAACCAAAATGGGTTTCCCTAGCTCTTATAGTCTCTGAGATCTAGGCGCTCAACAATACGGACGGACGGACAGACAGACAGATATGGCTATATCGACTCGGCTATTGATGCTGATCAAGAATATGTATGATTAATGGGGTCGGAACCGTTACCTTCTCTGCGTTACACACATCCATTTTTACCACAAATCTAATATACCCCTTAACTCTTTTTGAATACGGGTATAAAAAACAAGTTGGCTTTCATCGGACCACTAGATGTTTATTTGGAAAACTCTAGTGCTATTTTGCAAACTGATTTAACTTTGCCCCATGGCTTTCTTTCAAAAGTGGATTTTTTCTCGGACTTTGGGCACTTACTTTGTGTTCTTATATGCAAGAACTAACTTTGCTCATCCTTTTTTTAAGATACTTTTTTAGCTCTGTAGACGATTTATAAGGGTCCTCTTGCTCTCATCAAGCAGTAGTTTGACCGGAAATGGCGATATCGCGGCGTTTATTCAATGTGTTTTTTGTTGGTTGCCTGTTTTAAAGCATTGGGAGAAGTGGCGTAGCTAGATAGAAAAGGGCCCGGTGCAAAAAAAAACGAGAAGGAATGTGTGAGTCACTTCTAAAGACGCGACTCTACTTATAACCGTACTCAGTCAGTATTTACATTTTTAAGCTTATAATTTTTTAGAATTTTAGAATTAAAAAAAAAAATAAACATTTTACATTTTTTTTGCTACATCTGCTATCTACATCAACATATATTATGTATATTCTACATCTAACATGTAGATTATACATGTACCATTTAGATTCTACATCTCCTTCGCCAGGGGTTGCTCGCGCACTGAACGCGGCAGAGTGTGCGAGCGAGAAGGAAAATGAGTTGCGTTATCGTTGGCAGGAGGGGGCAGGGGAAGCAACTGAAAATTAATTTCTTCATTCTGGCTATAATTATGATCCGATCTGATTCAGATTCACTCGGCAGTCTGGTCGATATGGTCATTCTCTACGATAATGCGTTTTTAGTTTTATCGTATCTTTAAAAATGTGCCTGCCACGAAATTTTGAAATACAACTTGTAGCAGTGCATTAGTCTGGAAACAAAATTTGGTTGCTCTAGCTCTTATAGTCTCTGAGATCTAGGCATTCATCAAGACAGACAGACAGACATAGAATCGGCTATTAATGCTGATCAAGAATATACATATATACTTAATGGGTCGGGAACGTTTCCTTCTTTGCGTGACACACATCCACTTTTACCACATCCACTTTTACCCCTTAACTCTTTTTCACTTCCGCCACCATAAAGGACGATAACACTACTCGACAAAATCCAACTTTCTTTTGTCCTCAAGGATCCAAACCAATTTTTTCTGATAGATATGGGACTTTAAATTTTTTTTAAAGAATTATGGTTTGTTTTTCTATGGCAGAACTTTTTTTCAGAATTTTTGAATTCTAGTATTTTTTGGTATAGCTTTTTTAAGAGGTAGCGCTTCTTTTTCCCCATAACTCTTGTATAATACGTCTGGTTGTAAAGAACTTTGCTATTTTGAAAAGATAATTAAAACAGATACAAGGTTAGCCCAAACACTTTGTGATTTTAGCTTACCGTCTGGGAAATACAAAGCATTGAATTGCAAAAATCATGATTTTTGTGTGGTATTTTTTACGAAATTTTGACATTAAAAACTCAGGAAAAGTCGAAAAAAAATTATATTCTGTGACCTTTATTTTTTATGTATAGGTGCATGAATTAGACGTCGTTTAAGGTATTGTTCATTAAAATCTATGGAGAAACTTTGGAGCTAAAATCCGTTAACCAAACCAAAAATTTCCAGCTACGTCAGCTCCAACGATAAAAAGTTAAGAACTTCACACGAGTCGATGGTCCGGTCCTCCGAGTGTCTGCCGAAAGGGGCAGAATCTGCTTTCCTGCGGATTTCCCAACGCCGGAAAAATTATGGAGCTGAAGGCGGAAGCTGTTGATGCCTTTCCCGGCATCACTCTTTAAAAGGTAAAACACACCAGAATACATATGTACATATGTACATACATATGTATTCATGGCTAATTTCCTGATGATACTGGTTGAGTGCCAAAGTAGGTTTGAAACGGTAATGAATCGGTTGTGAAGTGGGTAATCAGTATCCGAATTATGGGCCGAATTCTTTCACACATTTTTACTCTGTCATGCACTCACAAAGTGGAGGCCATAGCCGAAACATTTCACTCGTTTAATGTTGTTGTTGCCACTCAACTTTTATTTATTTGTCTCTTTCTTTGCTCTCTATTCGCTCTTCCTCTCTCGCATTTATTTTCATAGCCTTTCATCATACGAGTCTTACTCTGAGTTTAAGGGACTTCCACACTCTTTGAGTATGGCTGAGTCGAGAAAGGGTAATCTAGGTTTCGACTTGTCGAAGGAAGCCTTTATTTGTCTTCGACTGATTTTGCTGTGCTTAAAACTGCCTAATTTGAATGCTCCAACGAATTCGCTTGCTTTGAGGCGGGTCTGTCACCGTCTCCCTCACTCTAATTTGGCTTTCATTGCATCTGACCCAATTTAAGAATCCGACAACAAATTGCCGAGAGATTTTCCTCTGTTTGGAGCCTTCAATTGCCATTTTCCCGCGACAATTACGTACACACACATATGTACATAAGTTCTTTTTATTTACGCTCAAGTTAACCTCTTGCTCTCAGTAATATTAATTATAGTTTTTGCTGTTGCAGCGACGCCAATGAATGGGGCCTTTCAATTAAATATGGACTGGCAGTTAATTAAGTAGATGTACATATATGTGCATACAAACACAAATATATATGTACATATGTATCCCTAATTCCCACCCCCCACTGTCTTCTCTACTTACGGTGTTTATTATGTTACGGTGGATACAACGGAAAAGACTTTTCCAAGCATAGTTTTTGATTTCTTTTTCAACTCTCATTAAAACCGAATAGCAAAATCAAATGAACACATTTTTATATTTAATTGGATTTGAAGATAATTTTAACTTCAGATTGATTTGGTCGTCACATTTAAGGAATATTTAATAAATGCATCTGAACACCATTAAGAACAAAATAGAGAGAATATATACTGAATATATATTCCATATTCTATGAATGTACGCTTCTATTATACGCTTTTGATAAGCGCAGGTCAAGTTTACTGATATCAATCAATGTAAAGCATTCCCAAATTATTATCAAGGAAGTCCGCTTCTTAACTTACCCGATTTCAAGATTTGTAAGAGACGAATTTTGCGTTCCCCTGCTCAATGTTTCATTATCTGCAAAGAGAATACAGTATAGGCCATTAGTATAAATGTAGGTAGATAATATTTAGAAGCGACAGAGGATCGCCCCACAAAACCCTCAAATCCAAGTCGATTCTGAACAACTTTTTATTTCAAAATCTGGCATCGTGGATGTGTGACAAAAAATTAACAAACTAACTAACGAACATAAAACTTAAAAACCTACGAAAAAAAGAGAGGAAAACAACAAACGTGTACATACATATGTACATACATATATACATACATACATATGTATGTACATACATACCCTGCAGTACCAGAAGTGAGCGATGACAAATGTCAACTACGCGTCATTCAGGATTATTTCTCTGCCGCTGCTACAGACGAGTAGAATATGACGTCGACGTCGCGATCGACGCGTCGGTCAGACCAAACTCTTTTTTTCTTTGTTTCTTTCTGTTACGACTCGTGCCGTAACAGAATTCGGTTTTGCCGTCGGCGTCGACAACGTTGTTAGAATTGTGCGGTGAAAAGTGAGACGCAGGTTTTGTTTATTTTGGGCAAAATTATTATCAGGTAAGTGCAGTGTTTCATTTAATTAAAAATAGTCTATTGTGCGTTGTAAAAAATGAAGAAAATGTGCGAAATTATATGCGTTTTGGACGAAATTTTTCATATTCATCAACGAAAACAAAAAAAAAAACAGCCCGAGTGGTTCTTGCGAGTCTTGAGTGGAACAGGTACATATGTATCTTGGCGAGTGTTTTGTTTTTGGCGCAAATGCACTGCTGATCTACTGAGAGCATTGTTAACAAATTGAAAAATATTTTAATTAACCCATCTTTTTTTAAAGGCGATTCAGTTGAACATGAGAAAATCAAAAAAACTAAAAAGGTTCTGTGGAAAAAAGAACACACAGCACACAAATGTGAATATGTATACATTTTTATAAGAAAACAATAAATAAAAGAAATTTAATATTTTAAAACAGAATTTACTCATGCCTTTTTCATAAAAAAATCAAAATTTTTTACTTAAATACATCACTTATTAGGGCCTTACTTTTTAAGGGAAATTCATCGCTTATTAAGGCCTTACTTTTCAAGGGAAATTCATCGCTTATTAAGGCCTTACTTTTCAAGGGAAATTCATCGCTTATTAAGGCCTTACTTTTCAAGGGAAATTCATCGCTTATTAAGGCCTTACTTTTCAAGGGAAATTCATCGCTTATTAAGGCCTTACTTTTCAAGGGAAATTCATCGCTAATTGAGGCCTTACTTTCGGCTAATTCTCGCTTACTATGTCATCGATTATGCTCCTAGGACATCCCCGTGTTAAAGTAAACAGCCCATCGTATGGCAGGTCATCGCTTATGTCATCGAGCTGCATGACGTTGCCATCGATGTGTGGTTGCTTACACATCGCTTACCCGTACTGCAGGGTAGTTACGTGTAGATCCAAGTGCAGCCGAGTGCATGTATGAATGTGGGACCCTAGTGAGGTGACCCTGTGGGACCTTGTGGCCGCGGGCCGAAGGGCAGGCCAAAGGCAGACCAAATTAGACCAGAAGCTAAACGGCCAAATATATAGAGAGAGAGAGACTAGCAGTAGGTAGCATCAGCAGCAAGGGCTGAGGGATACAAGCGACTCCGGAGTCCGGACCAGTGCACATTGGGGTCAGACATTGGCATAATGGCGAAAATTGCATAGAAACAAATGTTCAAATGATAAATTTTGATTAATGCAATTGCACTGATTTTATTTGCACTCAAATTTACGTGCAGAAACTATTCTGACTCAAATTTTAATGATTAAGCAACAACAACAAAATACCCCTGATGGACGGCGATTAATCCAAAGTGTATGAGCAGAAAATAAAATATCGGGCGATGATATATGATATAAATATCTACTCATCAAATAATCACGTCAATAATAATGCAGTAATCAGCAAAAATAACTACAAAATGTGCAACTCGGTTTTTTTTAAGTTCTAAAATGTACATATTTACATACTACGAGTATATACAAATGTCATGAGAATAAACACCAAGTCTCTAATTTATTTTTCGAATTTATGCCAAAATATCGGTTGGCCCAATGTGCAGTGCAACAATGATCAACGGCAAACAAAATCACATCATTGGCAGGAAAAAAGGAGAGAAAGATAAGAAAGCAAGTAAGGGCAGGGGCAGGAGAAGAAGGAAAAAAAAAAAACAAGGGGGAGAGAAAGAAAGAGCAACAACTGAGACCAGACCCCAATCAATGGATCAATAATTACAAGCGCTACTTTCATTAGCTGCTGCATTCCGTTCCCCTTGCACTCTCTCCTTCATTCTTTCTGAGTTTCCATTTTCGGCTGTGCTTTTGGCAATTAATAAACGGTAATTGCACATGATCCAAGGATACTCTTTCTTAACACAGTAATATATACATAAGTACATATGTATGCATGCATGTTGATTATCGCTATATACTTATTATAATATCAAACAGATTGACCCCATCGATATTCCCGACTAAACCATACGTTATAATATTCCCGAAGTTACATATGCCAACAGCACTTTCACAATGATACTCGCGTCAAAAGCGTTTACAATAATAAGTCGAGAGAATATTTTTTTCGCTGATTGCAAACGAGAAGGAACGAGTGAGTCGCTTCTTTGGACGCGACTATACTTTTATACCCGTACTTAGTCAGTAATGTATATATATATACATTTATATAATATATATATATAAATTTTTTTTTCTGTTTTTCAAGTGGTCACCCCCAAATTCTGTTCTTTGTTATTCAATAAAATTATACAATTTTTTCAAATTTTTAGTTTAATATTTTGGGGTTGCTACCACGAAAAGAAAATACAAATTTATATATATATACATATACATTAAAAATAAATTTAATTCGTCGCTTTTTCAAATAACATTGAAACTTAGAAACTAGTTCATATTGATAATAAGGTATTTTTATTTTTTTTTTAGTTACTGTTAAAAAATTAACGATTGGTGAAAAGTAAGAAGTTCAGCTGAGGTTGACATATTTAACATTAACTAGTTCGCAAAAACTTGTGCAGGTTTTTTACTGCCAATGACTGATTAATGAAGATATTAATGGTATCAATATATATGCAATAGATTTCAACAATTATCCAACTCATTCAGCAAAAATTTTTTTTTTAATTTTCTTGATTACAATTTTTTGTAAAATTCAATAGCAACCTAAAAAAAATGTAAACAAAAATAAAATAAAATCATATTATAAAATTCAAGGTAACAAAACTATTGGGTGTCCCGTTTGAATTTCGAAAAAAAAGTTTTCTGGCCCAGCCAAATATATATACATATATACATATATGTGCAGTTCCTATCTGGCGTTACGTTACATTCGTACGACAAAATGTTGAAAAAAATAGTCAAAAAACTGAAATTTGGAAAAAAGATTGTCCTCGTTGAATATAATTTGGTTAGACCTATATTCTCCAAAAAAATGGAAATAGTCGAGCGTACGGTTTTCAAGATATAAGCCAAAGTATGACCTAAAAGTGCGTTACATAAAACAGAAGTGGTTTTCGAGGTTGGGGTACAAAATGGCAAAACTCTGCGAATTGGATAGGGCTATCTGTATAAAATTGTTTGTGCTAATAAATGAAGTACTGAGAGTTAATTTTCAAACTTATTAAATGTTAAAACTTTTCGTGTTTTTTTGTGAAAAATCCGCGGAGGCATCTGGCGAACGTTACTGGCGTTACGTTACCAAATTCCGCGATTATAAAAGCCTAAAAATATACTGTTAGCCAAGGTTCGACCAACGTTCTGATAATGGTTTTAGGTAGTTTAATATATTAGAAAGACTTTAAGGAGAAACTTTTATCAAGAATCATCTTCTTCCTAGGAGATAATAGTAAAAGAAAACATGTCTATAAAAATACCAGAAAATACCAAAATCGTGAACTTTTGCTTATTTTCATTGGTTTTAGGATGAAAGTTAATGAAATTATATGTGAATAAAGTAAATTAGTTACCTTTCAATAAATTTAGAAAAAAATATCCGGAAAAAATTATATAGAAATCGGTTTTTATTGACTTTTTATGATTTTTGGCCTGGTGGACCTTTTGGCGGAACTGCCCATATTCTACATCTAACATGTAGATTATACATGTACCATTTAGATTCTACATCTCCTCCGCTAGGGGTTGTTCGCGCACTGAACGCGGCAGAGTGTGCGAGCAAGAAGGAAAATGAGTTGCGTTGTCGTTGTCAGGAGGGGGCAGGGGAAGCGACTGAAAATTAATTTCTTCATTCTGGCTAATTATGTGTAACGTAGAGAAGGAAACGTTTCCGACCCCATAAAGTATATATATTCTTGATCAGCATCAATAGCCGAGTCGATATAGCCATGTCTGTCTGTCCGTCTGTCTGTCCGTCTTGTTGAGCGCCTAGATCTCAGAGACTATAAGAGCTAGGGCAACCAAATTTGCTTTCCAGACTCATGTTATATCACACTGCTACAAGTGTATTTCAAAATTTCGCCCCACCCCCTTCCGCCCCCACAAAGGACGAAAATCTGTGGCAGGCACATTTTTAAAGATACGATAAAACTAAGAACGCATTATCGTAGAGAATGCCCATATCTACCAGACTGCCGAATCAGAATCAGATCGGATCATAATTATAGCCAGAATGAAGAAATTAATTTTCAGTCGCTTCCCCTGCCCCCTCCTGACAACGACAACGCAACTCATTTTCCTTCTTGCTCGCACACTCTGCCGCGTTCAGTGCGCGAGCAACCCCTAGCGGAGGAGATGTAGAATCTAAATGGTACATGTATAATCTACATGTTAGATGTAGAATATGGGCAGTTCCGCCAAAAGGTCCACCAGGCCAAAAATCATAAAAAGTCAATAAAAACCGATTTCTATATAATTTTTTCCGGATATTTTTTTCTAAATTTATTGAAAGGTAACTAATTTACTTTATTCACATATAATTTCATTAACTTTCATCCTAAAACCTATGAAAATAA